GGATGCACACTCGATAGGCTAGGTGGCAAATCTAGCTCATAAGCCACCTCCCCAATCCTCCGAAGCACCTCAAAAGGCCCAATGAACCGAGAACTCAATTTACCCTTCTTCCCGAATCTCATGACACCCTTCATGGGTGAAACCTTCAGTAGAACCTTCTCCCCAACCATGTAAGACACATCACGAACCTTCCTATCAGCATAACTATTTTGTCTTGACTGCACTGTACGAAGCCGATCATGAATCACTCTCACCTTTTGCAAAGCATCCTGTACCAAGTCTATCCCCAAAAGCCTAGCCTCGCCCGGCTCAAACCATCCTATTGAAGATCTACATCGTCTCCCATATAAAGCCTCATATGGAGCCATCCGAATACTCGACTGATAACTGTTGTTATATGAAAACTCCACAAGAGGTAGAAGCTGATCCCATGACCATCCACAATCAATGACACAAGCGCGCAACATGTCCTCCAATATCTGAATAGTGCGCTCGAACTGCCCGTCCGTCTTTGGGTGAAAGGTTGTGCTCAACTCAACCTGAGTACCCAACTCTCTCTGCACGACCCTCTAAAACTACAAAGTGAACTGGGTACCTCTGTGTGAAATGATGGAAACTGGAACCCCATGCAGGAGAATAATCTCTCGAATATAAATCTCAGCTAACCGCTCCGAAGAATAGGTAGTACACATAGGAATGAAGTGTGTGGACTTGTTAGCCGATCCACAGTCACCCAAATAGCATCGAACTTCCTCAAAGTCCGTGGGAGCCCAACTACAAAATCCAAGGGTATCCGCTCCCACTTCCACTCTGGAATATCTAACCGCTGAAGCAAGCCACCCGGTTTCTAATGCTCATTTTTCACCTGTTGACAATTAAGACACCGAGCTAAAAATATCACTATAGCTTTCTTCATTCTTCTCCACCAGTAGTGCCATCTCAAATCCTGATACATCTTCGCGGCACCCAGATGGATAAAATACTGCGAGCTATGGGCCTCCTCTAGAATCAACTCCCGAAGCCCATCCACATTAGGCATACATACCTGGCCCTGCATCCTCAATACTAAGTCATCACCAATAGTCACATCTCTGGCATCGTCGTGCTTAACTTTGTCCTTGAGGACAAGCAAATGAGGATCATCATACTGGCGCTCTCTAATGCGATCATACAAGAAAGACCGAGAAACCACACAAGCTAAGGCCCGACTGGGCTCTGAAATATCCAACCTCACGAACCGATTGGCCAATGCCTGAACATCAACTGCAAGAGGTCTCTCCCTAACAGGAATATAAACAAAACTGCCCATACTCATCGCCTTCCTACTGAAGGCATCGCCCACTACATTGGTCTTTCTCGGATGGTACAAGATAGTGATATCATAATACTTTAGCAGCTCCAACCATCTCCGCTGCCTCAAATTGATATCCTTCTGCTTGAACTAGTGGTGGAGGTTACGATGATCAGTAAACACATCACAAGACATACCATAGAGATAATGCCTCCAAATATTCAATGCGTGAACTATGGCAGCCAACTCCAAATCATGAACATGGTAGTTCTTCTCATGGGGATTCAACTGACGAGAAGCAAAAAACAATCACTCTACCCTCTTGCATCAACACACACCCAATACCAACTCTAAATGTATCACAATATACTATATATGAACCTGAAGCTGATGGTAAAACTAACACTGGAGCTGTGTTCAAGGCAGTCTTGAGCTTCTGAAAGCTCGACTCACACTCATCCGACCACCTAAATAGAGCACCCTTCTGAGTCAATTTGGTTAGGGGTGATGCAATAGATGAAAATCCCTGAACAAACCGACAGTAATAACCCGCCAAACCAAGAAAGCTGCTAATCTCTATGGCTGAGGACGGTCTGGGCCAACTTTGAACTTCCTCTATCGTCTTTGGATCAACCTGAATACCCTCAGTGGACACCACATGCCGCAAGAAAGCCACTAAACTGAGCCAGAACTCATACTTGGAGAACTTTACATAAAGCTTCTCCTCCCTCAACCGCTGCAACACAACTCTTAAATGCTCAGAGTGCTCCTCATGACTACACGAGTACACTAGAATATCATCAATGAAAACAATCACAAATGAGTCGAGATAAGGCTGAAACACGTTGTTCATCAAATGCATGAACGCTTCTGGGACATTGATCATCCCAAAAGACGTCACAAGGAACTCATAATTATCATATCGTGTCCTAAAAGTCGTCTTAAGAATATCTAAGTCCCTGATCTTAAGCTGGTGATACCTTGACCGAAGATCAATCTTGGAGAACACTCTCGCTCCCTGAAGCTGGTCAAATAAATCATCAATTTGAGGCAAAGGATACTTATTCTAGATTGTGACTTTGTTCAACTGCCTATAATCAATGCACATCCTCATCATGCCATCCTTATTTTTCACAAATAGAACAGGCGCACCCAAGGCGACATACTAGGCCGAATAAACCCCTTATCTAGGAGTTCCTGAAATTGCTCCTTCAACTCCTTCAACTTCGCTAGTGCCATACGATATGGTGGAATAGAAATGGGCTGAGCGCCCGGCACCAAATCAATACCAAAGTCAATATCCCTGTCCGATGGCATGCCCGACAGGTCTGCAGGAAACACATCGGGAAAATCCCTCACTACTTGAACAAAATCGATACTAGGAGTCTCTACAATGACGTTCCTCGCAAAAGCTAAGTATGAAAGAAAACCTTTCCCAACCATCCGCTCGGCCTTCAGAAATGAAATCGCCCTACTAGGAATAAAATCAGTCAAACCTCGCCACTCAATCTGTGGCACACCAGGCATAGCCAACATTACTGTCTTAGCATGACAGTCCAAAATAGCACGACATGGAGATAGCCAATACATGCCTAATATCACATCAAAATCCACCATACAATGTAACAAAAGGTCCACTCGGGTCTCCAGACCCCCAATACTCACCACACACGACCAATATACGCGATCCACAACAATAGTATCACCCACTGGAGTAGATACATGAACATATGAAATAAGAGACTCACAGGGCGTATCTAAATAACGAGCAAAATATGATGACACATAGGAAAAAGTGGAACCATGATCAAATAACACAGATGCATCTCTATGGCAAACTGAGACAATACCGGTAATCACGACATCTTAAGCAATAGCATCTGGTCTAGTTGGGAGTGCATAGAAATGGGCCTGACCACCACCGGATCGCCTTCCCCTCTGGGGAGAACCCTAGCTGACTGACCCCTACCCCTAGCTGACTGACCCCTACCCCTAGCTGACTTGGAAGGTGGTGACGTAATTGGAGCTGAAGTCGAGGGCTGACTCCTCTGCTAAGATGGACCCCCAAGAAGATGAAGACACTGTCTCCTCATATGCCCAAACTCTGCATACTCATAATAACTTCCTGGTGCGGGGGACGAGGATTGAAGGGAACCCCTAGCACCGGGATTACTAGCATAAGAAACTATTATAGAAGAGCCTTGAACTGATGGAGCATGGGACAAACTCTGGCTGGAAGGGCATGAAGTAATGAATGGCCCTGATGAGAACTGTGAGAACCATGGACCGATGATGCCCCACCATGAACTATGTGAGCTGACTGAGCATGTATGAATTGATGGCCTCTATTGTGCTGAAACTAGCCTCTCGAAGGAGCACTACCAAAGCTAACGGATCCCCGAGACCTCTTGGCATCCCTCTCATCTCACTCTTGGCGATGAACTGACTCAATCTCTCGAGCAATATCAACAACCTGCTCAAAATTAGCACCTGACACCCTCTCTCTGGTCATGAGGATCCGAAGTTGATATGTGAGGCCATCCAAGAACCTCCTGATCCTCTCTCTATCCATGGGAACCAACCAAATAGCATGATGAGCTAGCTCTGAAAATCTCATCTCATATTGTATCACAATCATATCATCCTGATGCAACTGCTCGAACTGCCTGTGCAGCTCCTCTCTGCGAGACTGTAGCACATACTTCTCAGAAAAGAGAGCAGAGAACTGCTGCCAGGTAAGGGACGCTGCATCCACAAGCCTACGCCTCTCATAAGCCTCCCACCATGTAAAAACAACTCCTGAAAACTGGAATGTAGTGAAAGAGACCCCGCTGGTCTCCAAAATACTTGCGTTCCGAAGCATCCTTTCCCTGGGCATCCTCGCCCTCTGCACCACTGAAAGTCGGAGCCTTAAGTCTACCAAACCACTCTAATCGACGCTGCTCGTCATCACGCATAACTGGTACTACATAATCCTGAGCAGGCGCAATCGGCTGGGCTAGAGGTACCCTCGGTGTTTGAAGTCCCTACACAACCTACTCAGGTGTGCAAGCGGTGGGAGTCTGGGTGCCTCCCGCAGCCTGAGAAGTAGTTGTAGCCGTAGTAACTGAGACCGCCTGAGCTAGGCCTGTGCACACTAATAGAATCTAGGCTAGGACCTCTTGAAGGTCTGGAATAACAATCGGCATAGCCGGTGCCTGAGCTGGTCCTGCTGGAGCGTTCGCAACTGGGACCTGATCGTGAACTTTGGCGGCTGGTGTAGACATGTCATTTTTGACCCTCATCGAAATTTCATACTTTTTAGCGTAATATATTTAGTTTAGGTTTAATATTGTTATTTTAAATAGTTTTGACTCTTTTACTTTATTCTATCACAAAAAAAATACAAAAAAAATATATTTCATCTTTAGTTTAAAGATAATTAGTATATTTATATTTATAGTATTTTAATTTCACTATGGCTTTAGCTTCTTCTTCCTACTTTTTACTTTATTATAACATTTGAAAATACAAAAAATAGTTTCACTTTTAGTATTTAGTTTTATATTAGTTTATTTTAATTAAGAGTGATTTTACACTTTATAGATACATTGTATTATTTGGTCTTCTTAGCCTAAGTTCAAACCCAAAAGACATGGTCCAACTCAATTACCCTTAGCCCATTCTTCCCAACTCATTAGCCCACTTAAGTGCAAGATTTAATCCTAGCCATTTATTTCCTTCTAATCCAATGGCCATCATCCCTTCCCACCTCCATATAAAATACCCAATTATAGAAACTCTACCCTAAGATTCCAATTCCTAGACCTAGACAACAAAAACACGACAACCATTTTCTTGAAAGGAAAGGATGGAACAAAAATCATTCAATCTCCAATTTCCTAAATCCTAAAAGGAGAGATATAACAGCTAACACACGGACAACACAAAATAGAGAAGTCTCCTTTGAAACCCATGGTTCACAATCAATTTGTTCCGGTAAGCATATGTCAGATTTATTTTGTTGTACTCTATGCTGTTATATCAACCTTTTTGGATCTGGCATATCCAAAAATATTATTTAATTGAGGTTTTAAAATTGCGTTAATATTTTACCAGTTTGCTAATAGTGCTTTGTTAAAAGAAGTGCTATTACTAGTTAAAGGTTTCTTCCTATCCTTGTTTTTGAAAGAAAAGTTTGAACCTCATAGATCTGTAGTTACTTTCTAAATAATCTTTGATCATTTGTGAGCAATTAAGAGGAAATGTAAAGTCGAGATGAAATTTTAGCTTTTTTTTGGGTTAAGCTTATAAACAAGAGTTTATGCCGTGTCTGCATAACAACTCACAATGTTCTCCACCTCATTTTTTTGGTGAATTATAAATCCCGAACTTTCAATAGAATCATGTAGTGCTGGCTTATTTGGGGATTGAAGTTCTGGGAGCTGTTGGCACAACCACTGACTGCTCAAAGGGGCATCTTATTTTGGTAATTTTTTAAGGGTTGTAGCAAATTAGCTGAAGTTTCTTGATTCATCAGATTTTTGGTGAAAAGTCATAGTTTTGGCTGTTGGTTAAATCAAGAATACAAATTTTTACTTGTGTTTGCTTCAGAAATGGTTAAAGAAAGGTTCTTAAGATAATGTTTTTCTTAGTTGGGTTGTTTTCTTTCTACCCATCAAGAAGGGTAAAAGTTTATTTTTAAGTTTGAGGATATATAGAAATTAGGGATTTTGCTGGTACACCTGGTACTTTGACTGAGCTATTTTTGAGGACGACTCAGTGCTTCTTTGCTGCTAGTTCAATTGCTTCAATGGTTACCTCTAAAAACTTCTTCAATGTTACTGCTTTTTGGTATTTTTTCCTTTCTTTTATCATTTCTGTATTTAATTTTGTTGTGTAATTTACTTGTATTGATGAACTAAATTCAAGGTTTTATATAGGTGAAACATATTATTTGAGAATATTGTTTAAAGGTTAGCACTGTTATTGCACTTTTAATGATGAAATGGGTCATGATGATGTTAAATGTGGTTTGAAGAAAATTGGGCCTAACAAGGTCGATCTGCAGACCCAAAGCTGATAATTAGCACACCACACATTTATCTTTAGCTTTGTCATGCAATTAAGGAAATAACTACTAAATAGTTTATGAATATCATAGTTTGGTTTAGGCGTGTAATTAAATCATCGTGACTACGGGTATGATTCCCGTGATGTAGTTGTGATACATAATTTTCAAATCCGGGGGTATATTTATGTGGCTCGGCCACAACAACTAATAATATTAATAATTTAAACATGTTGTAAATCGTGGGTACGGTTCCCGTGACACGATTCGCAATATGTACCAAACTAACAAGTGTACGACAATCGTAACTTGTTCCAGAATAATTTCATAAATAATTAAAAACAGTCAAAAGCTAAAAATGCACAATAGGTATAAAAAATGTAATTAATCAAATAATTAGGCCAATAATAATAGTTGAGCGACCGTGCTAAAATCATGGAACCCGGAAATGCCTAACACCTTCTCTCGGGTTAACAGAATTCCTTACCCGGATTTCTGTGTTTCGCGGACTGTAAAACATAGTCAAACTTTCCTAGATTCGGGATTCTAAACCGGTGACTTGGGACACCATAAATTATCCCAAGTGGAGACTCTGAATTTGAATATAAATAATCCTGATTCGGTTATTGTCACTTTAATTGGAAAAACTCCCTTATATACCCTTTCCGGGTAGAAAAAGGAGGTGTGACAACTCTGGCGAGACTGCTGGGGATGAGAACCCAGAATCTCTGGTTCAGGATTCAAGAATTCGAGGTTAGAATAATTGTTATATTTGGATTTTATTTATTAGCTAATTTTTATTACATGCTTGGGCCTAATGTGCTAAATGTTGCCTTTTACCGCTTTGATATTATTTGTACTATATATAAACTGCTACGAAAACCCTTATATTCTAATCTGCTGGAAAGTGCATGCTGGCGTGACTTCTTTTCTGTTAGTGTCATACCCTAATTTAAAATGAGGTTCGGACAAGTTACAAAGCCGGATGGCCTTTTGGTTCCCGGTACGTAGCCCTCCCCCCGGCTCGAGTTGTCCACTCGGGTAAGCCAGGTCTAGAACAATACACCCAGGATTTAAACCTAGAATAACATAGCCTTATGTCGGATCCCTAGTAGGATCGCTTGTTTGCATCATGTTTATTTCACCTTGGGGCCTCAACATAAGGTTAGGTCCGTCTAGGACAAGTGTACCCAAAAATAAAAGACCATCATGATGCATCGTATGTGCTACATGTTGTAGTCTTCAAGGGTAAAAGGGGTCATTTGGCGGACCAATGAGGGTTGAGGGTAAATAAGAAAGAAAGGAGGGTGAAGTATAAAAATGAAGCAAGTAGGGCCCATTTATATTTTTCTTTCACTTTTTTTCCAAGAAAAAGACAAAAAAAATCCAAAAAGATTTTGCTCTTTCCTATCATTTTCTAAAAAAAATAAAATAAAAAAAGAGGATAAAGAAAATCCAAAAAGATTTTACATGTTTCATCACTTTTCAAAACAAAAGACAAAAAATATATTTTCTCTAAATTAGTTGATTTGTTTAATTCTCGCCCGTATCAAATCTTTCCGGACTACGTTTACCTGATTCTCGTATTTTGAGGTGGGATATGTAGTGTAATGACCCGACCGATCATTTTGAGCTATAGCACGCCGTTCAGCAGTTTGAGACCATGAGTAGCTTCACTTCAGGTATTATGACTTGTGCGCATGGTCGGAATTGAATTATGGGAAGTTCAGAGTTGATTTGGAAAGAGAATTCTCATTTCGGAATCTTTAAGTTGAAAAAATTGACTAAGGTTGGATTTTTTGAGTAAACGACCTCAAAATCGGGATTCGAAGGTTCTAAAAGGTTCGTAGAATGATTTCAGACTTGGACGTATGTCCGGACTGGGTTTTGGAAGACCCGGGAACGTTTCAGTGCCTATTCTGGAAGTTAGCATTTTTGGAAGAATCTCATAAGTTTGGATTGAAGTGCATTTCAGGGTTATCAATGTCCATTTGAGATTTTTAGTCTGGGAATAGATCCGTATGGTGATTTTGGTATTGGGAGGGCGATCAGAAGTGAATTCGGAGGTCTGTAGGTCATTTTGGAGTCATTTGGCTAAAGATAGAAATTTGAAGGTTTTTGAGAAGTTTGACCGGAAGTGGACTTTTTGATATCGGGGTCAAAATCCAATTCCGGAAGTTGGAGTAGGTCCGTAATGTCAAATATGACTTGTGTGCCAAATTTGAGGTCAATCGAACGTGATTTGATAGGTTTCGTCATCGAATGTAGAAGTTTGAAACTCTAAAGTTCATTAAACTTTGATATGATTTGAGGCCTCGAGTAAGTTCGTAATGTGCTTTGGGACTGGTTGGTATGATTGGACGGGGTCCCTAGGGCCTCGGCTGGATTCTGGATGGTTAATAGATCAAATTTGGAGTTTAAAAAAGGGCTTCAGTAGCTAGTATCCGGTGTAACCACACCTGCAAGGTTTGGCCGTAGGTGCGGAGCTGCAGAAGCGGCTAGGAGGGACGCAGATGCAGTTCTGGACCAGAAGTGAAGAGACCGCAGATGCGGTCATGTAGCTGCAGAAGCGGGACCGTACCTGCGGTGGTTGAAGCGCAGAAGTGGAAAGGGCAGCCAGGTGAGAAACCGCAGAAGCGGGTATTGGGTCGAACCTGCGGAACCGCAAAAGCGATCAAGTGACTGCAGGTGGGGAAATGCTGGAGGCAATGAGTTCCTTTAAATCGGTGGTTGGGTTCATTTCAACCCCATTTCTTCCATTGGAGCCAATTCTGGGGAGCTTCAAGTGGGGGTTTTCATCATCAACGGCAAGGTAAGTTAACCCCACCTATCTTGAGTTAAATACATTGATTATGTATGAATATTTGCATGTAAATTGGTAGAAATTTGGAGGTTTGACGAAAACCTAGAAAATTCGTATTCTTGGATTTTGACCATGATTTTGGGTATGAAATAATGAGAAAATCATATATTTGAGTTCGTGAGTTCATGGGTAAACTTTATCTTCGAAAAATTTCAGAATCCGGGCACGTGGGTTAGAGAGCAATTTTGTCAACTTTTCGATCGAGGTTAGGAATTGTTATAAATTGGATTGTAATGAGTAATTGAACATATATTAATGGATTTGCATAATTATTGGCTAGTTTTGGAGTATTGTGCATCGATTCGAGTCTTCGGAAGAGCGTGGAATGCCGGTTATGGATCTTCAGAGCGAGGTGAATCTCCTTTCTAATTTTGTAAGAGGGAATTGTCCCCATATGTGATATAATTGGTTATGTGCTCCTATTTGTGGGAGCTACGTATGCACGAGGTGACGAGAGTCCGTGTGTAACTACTATTATGTGTAAGTCCGGGTAGTCTAGGACCTAAAAGCATGCTATACTTGGAATATCTATAATCTTGTTGGCAGTTGAATTGCTTAAATCCTATCGAATTGGTAAATGAATTTCAAAAAGGATTAAACTTTATTTTATAAAATTGTTAAAAGAGAATTGGCTTTTCTTTGGATAATTGTTCTCTGTTGACTTCTTGATTGACTGTCTATATGCGTTTAGCGTTTAATTTCGGAACGGGCCAAACGCCTCAGTAGATTAAATAGATGCATCTATGGTTCGCGTCATTCGACCCTCTGGCAGTGCACAATTTAAATATTGTTGGATCGGGCCGTATGACCTCGACATGATATGTGCATGCTTGTATTGCTTGCTTGAGAATTTTAAATGTTGATAATTGCTCCTTCATGGCCAGAGATAAATTGATAAAGATAATGAAAAGTAAACTTTTGGAAATCCTTTATTATTTGAGAAGTTGTTTACCTGCTTTCTGGCTTTATGAGTTAAATTTTGCTTTATGAAATCCATGAATTCCTCATACTTTTTCTATATTATCATTGGACCATTAGTAAGTGTCGAAGTCGACCTCTCGTCTCTACTTCTTCGATATTAGACGGGATACTCATTGGGTACACATTGTTTTCGTACTCATACTACACTTGCTGTGCATTTTTGTTGCACAGGTTCAAGTGTGGCTAGTGGCTTAGTGGCATAATGACATGGTTGATACGGAGATGTAGGTGAGTTGCATTTATCGAGACGATCCGAAGCCAGCGGAGTCCTCTTCAGAGTATGTTACTGTATTTTTCATTTATGTCCACTTGTATTCCGGAAAGTTACTATATTTTATTGCGTTCTCTAATAAATTCTCATGCACTTGTGACACCGGATTCTGGGATGATTATGGCATATCTTATATTAACTTCTTAACATTCATATTTGATTTGAAACGATTATCTTTTACTGGTAAAATTGTAGGAAAAATCATAGTTTTCAAAATTATTTAAATAAGAATTTAATTAAGTATTTTGGTTGGCTTGCCTGACAGCGATGTCCGGCGCCATCATGCCCCTTAGTAAAATTTGGGTCATGACAACATGGTATCAGAGCACTAGGTTTCCTTAGGTCTCATGAGTCATGAGCAAGTCTAGTAGAGTCTCATGGATCGGTACAGAGATGTCTGTACTTATCTTCGAGAGGCTACACGACTGTTAGGAGCACCTCCCTACTTGATTCCCCATCGTGCGATTAGATTTCTTAAGGCTTATGGCTTGTTTCTTTCCTACTAAATCTTATGCAACGTGAAGCGCTTATTATAAATCGAGAATTGGGAAAATGTAATAGTACTACAGATGTGGTGCGGGATGTTCCCCCCTGCGTATTTGATCGAGCTATTGTCGTCGCCTTGCGGAAGGTCGTTCTGTCATTTCAGCTCAGTTTCAATATTACCTAAGGTTTTGAGATTTGGCATCAATTGTTATGATGATTCGTGCGTTGTTATCACACAATATTGGTGTAATGGTAGAGTGTTTGTCTATGCGTTGAAGTAGTGACTGACTTGGAAGGATGTTTACTCAATGCAAGATTCAGAGATTCAGAATTTTATTTCCCGTTGGAAGAGAGGCAATCGGGCTATAAATATTCAACTTTGGTTTGATGGAGTAACGAGACTTGGTATTTTCGAGCGTGGTGGAATTTTCATCTGTGACGTGGTATCGTCGTCCTCGATTGAATATGTTGAGTTTGCCGGTGTTATGGTTTTCTTCAATTCGCCTTTGGGGCAGGATATTGTGAAATAATAATGGAGAGGCAACTGTCAGAGATCACAATGTGCGATGGTTCAGGATTGAATCGGTATATCTAGTGTTGATGGCCCAAGAAAGATGACCTCGGGGAGATTTAAAGTTAGTAGCGGTTGGTGGGTTCAAGCGCTACGTAGGTGGAATTTATTTGAGGTAATAGCTGAGTAGCAACGGATGATGAAGGACATGTGGGGAGTGTCAGGCAGTGGTTAAAACATCTAGAAGTCCAGGTATAAGAAGCAAAGGTCGAGTAGTAGATTAAAGGGGTGAGTTCTGCCAAAGTGGGAGAGTGGCGGAGTTGCATATGGCCTTTGCGGTAGGATGACTATGCACCTTAAGGAGAGTTTGGAATGATTTGGGAATTTTAGAGATTGGTGATTGGGGCCTACGGATATAATTTGGAGCATGGGCTATTACGCAGCAGGAGATTTGATATAATAGAAGGGAGCTGCCTGAAATGAAGAAGGATACAACATACCTTTGAATTGGAAAGATGTTGCCGCACATTTAATTGATGTCCATGAGGGGTGAATGGACTTGTGCAGCTAGAGAGTGAGCTCAGACTCAAGATGGGTTATTGATGTCGTAGTGATTGTACCCCGTGCAACAGCGTTGGAAGATGTCGGAAAGTGATTTCAATAGGTGGGTTATTCCCTGTGAGAAGGTTAGCGATCGTTTGGTTGGCAAAGCTTCTGCAGAAGATTTTACTGGCCATTCCGGTAAGAGGTCGAATATGTGAATGTTGACGGAAATTTAGAGTGTTCATGAAATACTAACGAAATGATCTCGAGGAATTTGGCGGTGGATTGCGCAAGGTTATGTCAATGAGAGATAAAGAATCTTGGCGGGTTCTGGAGTTGTGTAATAGTGGCTTCAAGCTAAGTGGGAGAGTTCCACCGCCTACGGTTGGATTGCATGGTCGTCTATTTGTGAGATTTCAGGTTATTAGCATATGGATGTATTTCAGCTAAGGGAAACGAACTTTAGAGGTAATTTGAGCAAAGGAATTGTTAAAGATGTTCTATTGTTAGTCGTATTGACTCATGATCAGACTTGGGAAAGGGTACAGGATTTATGCGTTGTGTAGATGCAGGTTTCAAGGAAAGTGATTCGGCCTGGTGCTTCATCGAGAAGGTGTTCATGTGCTAGAAGATTCATGGAGTTGATTATGTTCGGGACCAAGTCAGAGTGGATAAATCTCAACAACGGTCCTAGTGAATTCAAAAGATTTAAAAATGCGGTGCCTAAGGGTTCAAGCCCACAGTATGGTTAAGAATCGATCTTTTGTAGAAGATTATGATAAGAGGCTCGGAATTATCTATGATGTTTTCGACTTGCAGTGTAGCATCGGGAGGAAAAAAAGGGAAAAGACTTTGGATTCATAGAGAGATTATCAGAATGGGTGCACCAGTTGAGGATGCGAATGTGCGCACAAGGGAGGTATGAAATAGTTCGTGGAATTTGAGACAATGTGGTCTCATGGAATGGGGTCACTCAAGATGAGTGCGGATTTATGTTGGTGATGTAAGGAATGGAGCTAATATTATCTCTAAGGCAAGTTAAGGATGAATTAGAGGAAGTTAGATTGGTCAGCCATAGTTGAATTCGCATAGTGGTGATGGTGCGCACGAGGCTCGACGGTCGCCGTAATTGATTATATTCAGAAGTATTTTACTGTTATGGCCGATTATGTGTAGGCAGATCCCGGAAGGGCTATGGTGGCTTAGACCACTACTTAGAGATTTGCATATTCTACAGTTATGAGAATTCACTTGTGTGTTTCTATGGTTCTCCTAAAATGAGCTAAGTAAAAAGTTTCTATACGATGAAGTATTAATCTATTAATGGTTCCAGAGTTATGATGAAGATTGTGTTCTATCGTATATTGGCATGTTGGGTGCAGGGAGTGGTATGGAATTTGAAGTGAGGATCAAGGTTGCAGTTTGGTGTTGAAAAGGATGTCACAAGCTCGGATGAGTAGTAAAGGAGTCTCGATGTTTAAAGCAAGTTGGTATTGTCTTCAACGTCACCTGAGATCGGTGTTTTGTGAAAAAGGCTTCACATCCTGGTTAAGGATTCTTGATCGCTTTTCAGCGTTAGTGTGACCGGTGGTTTGGATGTACATACCTGTCATCTGTTACAAAAGGTTGTGGGAGCGTGCCCCACGGGAATGTTGTATATGTGTGGCATGTAGTCACTTGATTGATTGAGGAGTTAAACCAAGTATGAAGATTGTAGTGATGTCATTAAATTGATAATTGATGCCTGGAGGACACTCAGTTTATAGGGTTGTTAACTGTGGAGGATTACTACGGTCATGATGGTAGTTCTCCTGTGTATGAGAAAAAAGGGAGTTATTATGGACGTTTGAAAGGTTATTAGCCTAGTTTAGTGCGCTCAGAATAAGCTTGAGGTCTGTGGATGGATCTAAATGTGAATATGGGCTTATATTAGACCAGATGTGTTCATTTCAGCAATGCGCTCCTTATGGAAAAGTAGTCGGGGTACTATTTTGTCGTCAACTATTTCATGTAGTGATATATCGCGCCGCATGGGTTATGAGACAGCTTGGTAAATTTCTTATATGTTGAGGTTCCGCGTAAAGATGATGTTATATGAGCATAATGGCTCTTGAGATTCAGATCGTATATCGCACCTCAGTTGTGCTTGATTTTTGTAGCTTATGGCGCTATATGTCTCCCTATGGATGGTATTATGCACTTAGCGTGCTTGTGACCGACACTCGGTATTTTGTTGTAATGAGCAATCTGGCTCAGTATGTATCTTCTTATATGAATTCTATGTGTGGATCTGGTGGCATGCCGCCATGGGTATGTTGTTTGGATCGGGTTGCGCGCCGCAACAATGTGATGTTGAGTACAATTCCCCGTATCTGTTTTAATATCGGGGTCAGAATCCAATTCCGAAAGTTGGAGTAGGTCCGTAATGTCAAATATGACTTGTGTGCAAAATTTGAGGTCAATCGGACGTGATTTGATAGGTTTCGTCATCGAATGTAGAAGTTTGAAATTCTAAAGTTCATTAAGCTTGGATTGGAGGCCGAATCATGATTTTAGCGTTATTTGATATGATTTGAGGCTTCGAGCAAGTCCGTAATGTGTTGTGGGACTGGTTGGTGTGATTGGACGGGGTCCCGGGGGCCTCAGGTGGATTCCGGATGGTTAATGGATCAAATTTGGAGTTTGAAGAAGGGCTTCAGCAGCTGGTATCTGGTGTAACCGCACCTGCGAGGTTTGGTCGTAGGAGCGGAGCCACAGAAGCGACTAGGAGGGACGCAGATGCGGTTCTGGGCAAGAAATGAAGAGACCGCAGATGCGGTCATGTCGCCGCAAAGAGGGACCACACTTGCGGTGGTTGAGGAGTAGAAGCGGAAAGGGCAACATGGTGAGAAACCGCAGAAGCGGGTAGTGGGTCGCACCTGCAGAACCGCAAAAGCGGTCAAGTGACCGCAGATGCGGAAATGTTGGAGGCAGTGAGTTCCTTTAAATCGGGGATTGGGTTCATTTCAACCCCATTTCTTCCATTAGAGCCGATTTTGGAGAGCTTCAAGTGGGTTTTTTCATCATCAACGGCAAGGTAAGCTAACCCCACCTATCTTGAATTAAATACATTGATTATGTATGAAGCTTTGCATGTAAATTGGTAAAAATTTGAGGGTTTGAGGAAAACCTAGAAAATTCATATTCTTGGATTTTGACCATGATTTTGGGTATGAAATTAAGAGAAAATCATATATTTGAGTTCGTGAGTTCATGGGTAAACTTTATCTTCGAAAAATTTCGGAATCCGGGCACGTGGGCCCGAGGGCAATTTTGTTAACTTTTCGATCGGGGTTAGGAATTGTTATAAATTGGATTGTAATGAATAATTGAAAATATATTAATGGATTTGCATAATTATTGGCTAGTTTTGGAGCATTGTGCATCGATTCGAGTCTTCGGAAGAGCGTGGAATGTCGGTTATGGATCTTCAGAGCGAGATGAGTCTCCTTTCTAACCTTGTAAGAGGGAATTGTCCCCATAGGTGATAAAATTGGTTATGTGCTCCTATTTGTAGGGGCTACGTACGCACGAGGTGACGAGAGTCCGTGCATAGCTACTATTATGTGTAAGTCCAGGTAGTCTAGGACCCAAAAGCATGCTATACTTGGAATATCTGTAATCTTGTTGGCAGTTGAATTGCTTAAATCCTATCGAATTGGTAAATGAATTTCTAAAAGGATTAAACTTTATTTTATAAAATTGTTAAAAGAGAATTGGCTTTTCTTTGGTTAATTGTTCCATGTTGTCTTCTTGATTGACTGTCTGTTTGCATTTAATTTTGGAACGAGCCGAATGCCTCGGTGGATTAAATAGATGCATCTATGGTTCGTGCCATTCGACCCTCTGACAGTGCATAGTTTAAATATTGTTGAATCGGGCCGTACGACCTCGGCATGATATGTGCATTCTTGTATTGCTTGCTTGAGAATTTTAAATGTTGATAATTGTCCCTTCCTGGCCAGAGATAAATTGATAAAGATAATGAAAAGTAAACCTTTGGAAATCCTTTATTATTTGAGAAGTTGTTTACCTGTATTCCGGGTGTATGAATTAAATTTTGCTTTATGAAATTGATGAATTCTTCACACTTTTCTATATTATCATTGGACCATTAGTAAGTATCAAAGTCGACCTCTCGTCTCTACTTCTTCGATATTAGACGGGATACTCAATGGGTACACTCTGTTTTCATCCTCATACTACACTTGCTGTGCATTTTTGTTGCACAGGTTCAAGTGTGGCTAGTGGCTTAGTGGCATAACGATATTGTTGATACGGAGACTTAGGTGAGCTACATTTATCGAGACAACCCGCAGCCAGCAGAGTCCCCTTAAGCATATTTTACTATGTTTTCCATTTTTGTCCACTTGTATTCCGGACAGTTACTGTATTTTATTGCGTTCTCCAGTAAATGCTCATGCACTTGTGACACCGGGTTTTGGGATAATTATGGCGTATCTTGTATTAACTTCTTAACATTCATATTTGATTTGAAATGATTATCTTTTACTGGTAAAATTGAAGGAAAAATCATAGTTTTCAAAATTATTTAAATGAGAATTTAATTAAGTATTTTGGTTGGCTTGCGTGACAGCGTTGTCCGGCGCCATCATGACCCTTAGTGGAATTTGGGTCGTGACACGTAGGCAGCCCACATAGAGTCCGATTTTCCTAGTGAGTCTTAGGTTCTTGGCTTCGAGGCTCGTAGCCAATTCTTGCATGTCTAGCCACTTTTGGCCATATCGGTCATTTTGCAAAATATGGCTATTTTCGCAAAAGTGGTTTGTTTAATTGTCTGGAGAGTCTTGAATCCACAATTAGGTGTCTCTTTACTTTAAGGTCTGTCCTTGTCAAATTTGCATGTCTAGCCACTTTTGGCCATATCGGTCATTTTGCAAAATATGGCTATTTTCGCAAAAGTGGTTTGTTTAATTGTCTGGAGAGTCTTGAATCCACAATTAGGTGTCTCTTTACTTTAAGGTCTGTCCTTGTCAAATTTGCATGTCTAGCCATTTTTGGCCACATAGGTCGTCTTGCAAAATAGGGCTATTTTTGCAAAAGTGGTTCAGTGACCCATGTCTGAGTGTCTAGGTCCACAACAAGATGTTCTCTATGTTTAAGGTCCATTGTATTGAATTTGCATGCTTAGCCATCTTTTTGTCCACATAGGCTATTTCTACAAAAAGGGTCATTTATGTAAAGTAATTTTTCCATGTCCTAGAGGTCACTTTTGTTGAGTTTGCATTTCTAGCAACCTTTTGGCCACATAGGCCATCTTGCAAAAATAGCTTCAATCATGTCATGCATGTGTCCGATAGGAATTTTATTGTCTCACATAGTGTTCTAATCTTTAACTCTATTTGGCTTTAGTTTTCTCAGACAAGTATGGATCTACTTACCGGAGTTTGAGCATGCCAGACACCCCAGGACCATCTGGTCAGGATCGTTGCATCCAGGAGTTGCTTAAGGAATTTTTTTATGTTTTGAGTCTGTTTCTTTTTTTTTTATGTTGTCTTGTACTTTATAATTATGCCCAGTAGTAATGATTCTTTTAGTTGGTGTTGGAGTTTGTTGTAGTATAGTTTAGTTGAGTCTCTCATTATCGCATTTTCTGTTTTGTATTTGAAAATAAAAAAAAGTTGTAATGAATAATCCAAAAACATTTTTATATATTTTTTAGTTTAATTTATCCATTACTTTTCCAGAACTACGCTTGGTCTGATTCATGCAGCGTCATGATACGTAGGTAACCTACATAGGGTTCGATCGAATTATTTTTTTTAGTTAAAAGAAAAAAAAGGGAAACAAAAAAAAAGAGATGGAATATAGGATGTGAAAAGAGTGATAATTAGAAGAAAAAAAGAGGAAGGAAAATGGGCAAGCCAAGAAGTGCTAGAAAAGAAAGAAAAGAGAAGATTGAAATGAACAAAATTGGGATGATGGCAAGTGACCCTGTGACCCTCGAAGTCATTCTAGAACCGTTAATTGCTGCTAGGTGAATTGCACGCAGTGTGATATTTTTAGCTGTTAAATGCCATAATGCTAACAGGATGACCCCATTTTGTTCCTTTTGTTATCTTCATTGAGCAGAATGGTGGTTGGTTTGTGGTTTTTAAGTAATTCATCCATACAATACAAGGTCAAAGAGCAAGGTAGCCATGGTTAACAAAGACTTGGACACGGGTGTTATTGATCTGTCTAAGGAGATTGTTGAGTCAGAATATGAGTTGAAAGAAGAGGTCTTAAGGTTGAAAGGATAGAGGGCCGAAATATACCAAGCCTAGATTAGTGCGTCCTCCACCATTATTTCCGACTAACTACCCTGAAAGCCTTGTCACCATTATGCCACTGTCACAAATCAAGATTCCGACTGCTGCTAATATCTCCCCACAACCTTTTCATATCCAGCCGCCAAAATCACCTCATACCCTATCCTTTGACCACTCATGTTTTTGTAGCTCCTCCACTAGCTATTCTTCCTCGATCCTCTAGCGAGACTATGGGAATTTGCTGGCTGAATTTAGTGACATTGAAGTGGGTAATGGTCTTGATAATATTGACGTGGAACTCAGTGGCTAGGATGTCGAGCTTGGTAATTGGAAAGACGCTCCTTTCTTGGATAGCCAGGGGAGTCCTGGTGGTTTAGTTTATTGTCATTTCTGTTGTCCGGGTTAGTCCGGGTTATTTCAGGGTTGTAATCCGGATATTGTCTTATGACTCAAACCCTTCTATCCTTTTATTTTGCCTAGTTCCTCTAGTCGTAGTAACTCATTTAGTGATGTCTAGGTTTGTTCCAAGGTTGTAACCCTAATTTATTCTACTTGTTTTGTTGCTCAAACCCTTTCACCGTCTATCTAATGCAATTTTCTGTTTTTCTGTTATTTCTAGTCATTTTTTGTTTAGTTATCTTCTCCTTTTACAGTTCTTTTCATGCTGAATCTACTGACATGACATGTACGCATAATTCTAGTCCTGGTCTTAAAAGATAGTTTAATCATAAAGCAATGAAACAATTTTGAAGATGATAGGGACATTTGAGGGAAATAAGTACAAATTTGGACATTTTGAGATCATTTAAAGCCCGAACTATGTGAAACCGGCGCAGATAATCGGGAAGTTAATAAGATGACAAGAATTCGTTAAAGGAGAGTGCATCCCGGACAATTTGAAGCAGGCAACTTTGAGTTCAAGTGCATCTATAAAGTCAAGAAAGTTTTCTCCGACTTGACGGAGGATATCCATTGTGAAGAGGGAATCACCCAACGAGGGTTCTGTACTTGACAAGGCACTAAAAAAGGTGGAAGACATATCAGTGATATCAATACCGAAGGTGCAAAAGAAATGTTGTGCATGATCTTCCTTTTTCATTCTCAAGTTGCATGTGTTGTACTTGACATTTTCAGAGATTGGGAGGCCCACTTTTAGCTACCCAAACACTTTTATACCATTCGGTACCCCTTTTAAGCCTGTGCTAATTTTCTTGACCTCCCCTCTTTTGAAATCAAGTCAGAGTCATAAAAAGAAAAGAAAAAAAATTCATGTCCCCATAGGTTGGTTTTACAAAGTTCATTTTAAAAGGAAAGTCAAAAAGAAAAAAATCAAAAGAGAAAATAGAAAAAAAAAGAAGAAAAAGAAAAAACAAAAAAAGAAAAAAAAAAGAAAAAAGAAGAATAGCAACGAAAAGAAAGTATCCCATTGAACTATGTTTGACCTGATTCTTGTCACCGCAAGATACGTAGGCAGCCTTATAGTTCGTTCATACCAAAATAAAATATTTCATTATCCCATGAAGTCAAGAGTGTGGCAATCTTCTTAGAAATTTCATCTCAAAAAAAGAAGATTCAAATTCCCTTATTTTAGAAATTAGGGCAAAGTTTTTAGAATGGATTCCAAAAGTTGTAAATAAATTAACCCCGATGTCTTAGTTGTTTTGAGCCTTTCTGATTCCTTTCTTTCTAACCCTATCCAAAAGCCACATTAGAGTCCAAAAAAGACCTCCTAGATAATCTTTGAGAGTTCTGAGCTCGACATGCAAGGAGCATATGATGTTTTTACTATGGTCAATGCCTTGTCATCTACAAAATTAGAGGAAATAAAAAAAAATAAGAGAGACTTATTGGTGAAAACCTTCACAGGCATCATAAGGCGATGGTAAGTTGTGAGAAAGAATAAAATGAGAGATGTTTGATGGTGAAAACCCTTCGGGCACTACAAATCAAATAAGGACCGTTAATCAGATAGGATAATCGGAGCATGGAAGCCCAGTTTCACGACTCAGAGGTACAACGAGAGTTGAACATTAGACTTGTTCGATAGATTAGGCCACTTAATCCAAAGGTGCATATCATGGTCATTAGAATCGGTATCCACATCTTATAAGTTTCTACTTTGTAGTTTTCTTGTTAGGAATCATCTATTTTCATTGTCCTTTACTCTGTTTCTTTTGTCTTGTTTACTTCCTCTTCCTGAGTCTGTTTGGTCAGAACAAGTGAGAAATGACTTCAAAATTTGCCACCAGTTTTCCAATTGCATAAAACGGAATCTGGCTAGCACATCAAAGTGGCATACATCAAGAAAGAACAATATGCGCACTGAGTTGGTAACAATCAACGTGCTTTGGGATTCATGTGAAATACAAAGGTTCGAAATATGTCAATTCATGAGCACAATGCAACAGATAAAGGGTATTGGGTTTGAACGGATAAGAGGTATTTTCCGTGATAAGGGTGACAGAGAAAGTGGTCAGTCAATAAACAAGCAAGGTCTTTCGAGTTGAAATCAAAGTTATCATGGGAAGTGAAGGAGCAATCGCCCTCAAAGTCAAGGCCACAAACCAACCACCATGTTTAAACTCACAAGTTTTCTTTATTTGAAACAGGTATGGAGACTATGTCCAAATCAAAGCTTGGAAACTTGAATTTTTTTAAGTGTCATGCCCAAATTTTGTCAGCACAAAGGCGGTTTGAGAAGGGGCAAGAAAATTTGTTCGATCTGTAGGAACCTCCTTGAGGAAAGCATAGTTAAGAGGCAAGGAATTTTGTTCGTTCAGCAGAGATCCTCAAGGAAGAGAGCATGGCTCAGGTAAGTTCATTCTCAGCTTCTCAAGACCCTCTTAGATAACGGGATTTAATTTCAAGTTTTCAGGACCCTCTTGGATAATGAGATGTAGTTTTAAGTTCTCAAGACCCTCCTGGATAATGAATTTAATTTCAAGTTTTCAGGACCCTCATGGATAATGGAATTTAATATAAAGGTTCAGGACCCTCCTGGATAATGGGATGTAGTTTTATGTTCTCAGGACCCCCCTGGATAATGGAATTTAAATTCAGGTTTTCAGGACCCTCCTGGATAATGGGATTTAATATAAAGTTTCAAGACCCTCCTAGATAATGGGATGTAGTTTTAAGGTTTTTTAAGACCTTCGTAGATAATAAGATTTAGCGTAAGTTTTACCATTAGGAAATAGAATTTAGCTTGGAAGTTTTCACTCTTAAGATGAGATTTAATTTTAAATTTTCAGCACTCTCTTGGATAATGGGATTTAGCTTTTAAATTCTTATAGCTCTTTTGGATAACAAGATTTGATTAACACTCACAGATGTTCCCGGTACCAAACTGGAGCAGAAAAGTTTCTTTTGTTTTGTTTGTTTTGTCACAATGCAAACGCCCACCTGGATAACAAGGGAATTCATTTCACGTTTTCGTATGAGGCACCCACCTGGAAAACAATGGAATACATTTCAAGTTTTGGTATCAGGCGCCTACCTGGAAAACAAGGGAATACATTTCAAGTTTTGGCATCAGGTTCCTACCTGGAAAATAAGGGAATTCATTTTAAGTTTTGGCATCAGGTTCCTACCTGGAAAATAAGGGAATTCATTTTAAGTTTTGGCATCAGGCGCCCACCTGAAAAACAAGGGAATATATTCAAGTTTTGTTATCAGGCGCCCACCTAAAAAACAAGGAAATACATTTCAAGTTTGGCATCAGGCTCCCACATGGAAAACAAGGGAATACATTCAAGTTTTGGCATCAGGCGCCCACCTGGAAAACAAGGGAATTCATTTCAAGTTTTGGCATCAGGCGCCCACCTGGAAAACAAGGGAATTCATTTCAAGTTTTGGCATCAGCCGTGTTACACCCCAAGTTTTCATACGTGAGAGTACATCGTAAGTCATTGATGCAAGCTCGGAAATGAGATTATATTTGGAAGCAAATAAAGTAAGTTAATCATGTTACCTTGGAGGATACAAATATTTAAGATCATGAATAACGAGTACCAAGAGGGTTGGAAATTTTAGAAGCTAAACCAATTGAAGAAAATAAGTTTTGTCAAAAGTCGACAAGTTTGGAATGTTATAACATGTACTTTGGGGTGAGACTAGGGTTATTAACATGATAAGAAGGTTATTCTATGAGTTATTTTAGTCGTATGATATTGATTTTCTACATTTTGAAGGCAAGCAAGTTGTGGAACAAGAGTTGGCAAAGGTCATCACAAGTTACATTCATAAATTTGCTGAAATTTAGGTCAAATGTATCTGATAATTTCTCCAAATATACTTGGAATCATGGGGTGTTCTACCTATCAAATTGAACGTCTACNACATGATAAGGAGGTTATTCTATGAGTTATTTTAGTCG